AAACAAATAAATTTTCTTTTTATTTCATGCTTTTTCAGTGATTTTAAGTATTTTTTACTGATTTTGCCGCGTAACGTCATGCATTCTCCTTTGTGACGTCATCACATCATGACGTCACATCATCAATTTTGAAATATAATAGTTTTGTTAAACTTTCTCTAAATATAATTATTCTAATTATTTTAATTATGCTGTAGGCTTACGTCAAGGGGAGGTAATGTCTCCTCTGCTATTTTCTCTTTTTATGGAAGATTTAGAATTGTTTTTAAAAAACAGTGTCGACTCTGGTCTATTACTGGAGGATATAGTTTTAATTCTTTGTTGTTTGCTGACGACATGGCCATCATAGGCCAGACACCTGAGGAAACTCAAGAACTTTTAGACACTTTAAAAATTTATTGTGATAACTGGGGTCTTAAAGTAAATACAACAAAAACAAAAATAATGGTCTTCCGTAAAAGGGGTGGGCTCTTACCAAAAGAGAATTGGTATTATGATGGTAAAACAATTGAAGTGGTAAATGACTTTAATTACTTGGGAACAGTTTTTAACTACACTGGTAGCTTTTTATTGAATCAGGAACATTTGATAGGTAAGGCGTTAAAGGCTATGAATGTGTTATTATGTAAATGTAATGAATATGATCTAAGTCCAAAGTTATTTTGTCAGTTATTTGATGCTTTTGTTGTTTCTATTTTGAACTATTCATGTGAAGTCTGGGGATATTCTAAGTCGAAACCAATTGAAAGAATTCATTTAAAATTTTGCAAAAGATTATTAAAAGTGAGACAGAATACATGTAATGCATATGTTTATGGCGAATTGGGAAGGTACCCATTGTATGTAAATAGATATATAAGAATAATAAAATACTGGATGAAAATTGTTGAGACTGATAATATCTTATTAAAAACAATGTATAATATAGCATTAAATGACAGCAATAGTGGATGTGTAAACTGGGTCACAAATGTGAAAAAAATTTTGAATGCTTATGGATTTTCATATGTTTTTGATCAAATAAATTACATAGATTAGAATATATTTTTGACAGAGTTTAAAAATCGCATTTTGGATGTTGTTAAACAAGAATGGTTTGCTAACTTAGAAAATAGTTCCCTTTTATATTTTTATAAAAATGTCAAGAGTACATTTGAATATGAGAAATATTTAGATATTTTACCAAAAGGATTTAGATTTTATTTTTGTAAATTACGCATGAGTGGTCTTCCCCTTAGAATTCAAACAGGAAGATTTAATAGAAACCTTATTCCCCGTAATGAACGATATTGTTTATGTTGTAACAATTTAGATATAGAAGATGAGTATCATTTTATATGTATATGCAGCTTTTATTCAGAATTAAGAAAAAAATACATAAAGGATATTTACATCAAAAGACCATCTGTTTGGAAATTTATCAAATTTTTAAATTCTAATGATAAAACTGAGCTCATGCAATTATCACTGTTTATCAAAAACTTGCTTTAAAATATTCAGTATTAACTGTAGAAAAATAACTCTGATATCTGTTCTATCTCCTTTTACATGATAAATTGTTTTGATTTATATGTATTCAAATTACTACCATTACTGTCAAAAATAATTCTGTTCTTATTGTATCTCACGTTGACATATATAATTATTGATATGTCATGATGTATGGTGACATCGACTTTCTTTTTTAAAGAAGCAAAATTTACGCATGACAGCATTTATTTCTGCCTGTTATTCCATTTAGTAATGATTTTTTTTCATCCACATTCAGATATAGTCCGGCTACAATGAAAATTATATTTTATAAATTTCAATAGTGGTTTATCAGAATTTATTACATGCTTTTCGGTGGTTTATAGAAATATATCAGTGATATAAAACTGGTAATTTCACTGTTTGAAACAGTGAAATTACCACTTTGATAATTTCACTGTTTTGAATTTAAGCCCCTTACGTTGTTTCAGTGAAATACCAGCGTGCACAGTACTGGGTACCAACTTAATGACGTGACGTCGTAAATGACGTCACGTTGTATTATTATTTGGGGCGCTTTTCATTCAGTATTAGGTTAAATGTCTTTTTAAAACGTTTTTTTGCATATAATAAAAAGAAAATTTGTTTAGTTAAGTGTAAGATTTAAATATATTTCACCTTGTGAACACCAAAAGTTCATATTTCACTCGTGGCTGCGCCACTCGTGAAATATACCTTTTGGTGCTCACTCGGTGAAATATATTCCGATCTTACACTGAACTAAACAAATATCCTCTATATAATCATCTGATATATTACAATAAAACACTGCATGGAAAGCATAAAATAAACCACTTCATCAGTTTTCAATCTTAATGAAATCAAATCGAGCCTTTAGATAAAAGTCGTTTGCACTGTTGTCATTGATCTGTAGGGTCCATGTGAAAGGCGATGCTAGATTATATATATTATTACATAGCACATTCATAATAACTTTAGCAAATCTGTAAGTCATTTGCTAAAAAAGGAAAATGTAGGTCGTCAACAAGATAGCTTTATTTTGAAAGTGCATGTCATTTCATAATCTCTGGATTAGTGTCATTGGTTTTATACAAAAAAGCTCATGGTTGAAATGAACTTTCATAAATTAAATCTTTACAAAATAAATACAAACATACTTTGAGTTTTCACTTATTTTAAAAGTTATTAGTTATTATTCAAACCATATTTACACCATTTTCAGTTTACCCCTTAAGGGGTATAAAGCTATATTTCATGAAATATATTTATAACACAATCTTATGGTCGATGCTTGAAAGAGATTTTAACATAGGATGTCCCTGTAATTGGATACTCCTGAATACTACACGTAAACAGAATAAAATATTGCAGAACAAACTATGTAATAGCAGTGATTTCATAATACGTCATTTGCTTTTAAAGATATTTACTAATATATCTATTTCATATAAGCATTTCATACAAGCATTTCGGAAGTTTTTTCTTTTTCATTCAAACAACAACTTTTGCAGAAGATCTAAACATAGCTTTATACACTTTAATTATCATTGTGATTTGTGAAACTCTATTTGTTTAAAGTCATAAATGAAAAAAACAGGGTTTTTAAATTGTCAAACGTACTGACAGTAACGTTGTGCTAATAAAATAAAAATAGAATAATAGTTGTAAGAGACTATAGAAAACATATTATTTCTGTTGTAAATTTGCAATAAAAGGTGAAATAAAAGAGCTTCTGAATGAAAATACAATGTGACGCCCTTTGATTTTTTAAACTTCATTCAAACAGAAAGGGAATTCGGTTGATGGACATTTAAAGAAGAATATACATTCCTTATTTGATTATACTAACTGTGAATTGTGCTTCACGAGAACATCAACATCAAGAAAAGCTAAATACCCTTTTGATTAAAGGGTGGGGATGGGGCTTAGATGACGTAGATGGTAGAAAAATCTGGAAACGAAGTGAAAACTCCGGAAGCATTAAATCACAACAAAATTACAAGAGAATTACAGACTCGGTTTGATTGAGTCCTGTACAAGAGGGATAATGAATACGTGCAACATCCCTCACCCCCCTAGCACCGGCTTGAGTGATACTCAGTTCTTAACACTTACTAGTACTGGCATCAATGATCCCGAAGGACCAGAAAAATATAACAACACTGAAGTGAAAAGTACGGGTCAACTTTTTACAGCTGCCCACACAGCACTTGACACCTGCTGTTGTGAAGTATAAAAAAATGGAAACGATATGATCCCTCGGAGCATTAATCACAAACACAATTACAAGAGAATTGCAGACTCGGGTTTGATTGAGTCTGTACATGAGGGATAATGAATACGTGCAACATCCCTCACGACCCCTAGTTCCGGCTTGAGCGGGTACTCAATTCTCAACATTTAATAGTGCTGGCATCAAATGACAATGATCCCGAAGGACCAGAAAATATAACAACACTGAAGTGAAGTATGCCCCGTACTCGGTTTGATTGAGTCTGTACATGTACATTAGGGATAAAAAGTTGCCCCAACTATTTACAGCTGCCACACAGCACTTGACACCTGCTAGTTGTGAAGTATAAAAATCTGGAAAAGAAATGATCCCTCGGGAGCATTAATCACAACAAATTACAAGAGAATTGCAGACTCGGTTTGATTGCGTCTGTACATAAGGGATAATGAATACGTGCAACATCTCTCACTCCCCCTTGCATCTTAATACACTAAACACCTTCCAATCAAACTTGCAACACGCTTGCTTTTTTTGAATTCTGTTTTTCTCTATTGCATGGCTAAATCTAACTTACTCATCGTTTTGATGTGAAAAAAAATTAACTGCGCATCAAAACTCAATCAAACTGGTGTTACTTCGATTCTAACAAGATAAAATAAGTGATCTACTCTATTATTTTTTTTTTTCAAGGGTGCCAATTTTTGCATAATGCTGTTGGATTTCGCACCCTATTGTTGTTAAGATATAGAAATTATTTATCAAAATAAATAATAAGAAAAAAATTATTTTATCAAGTTTTCAAAAATAAAAACTTACGTCGCAGACTAGATTGAATTGTGTTAACATAAGCGTTTAATTCATAATACTCTTGTTTGAAATAACGTTATTCTAGCCCGTTTATGAATGTGTTGTTTACATAGGATGACGTCATTACGATGCTTACGGATTGGCGCCGTTTGTCAAAATATTTATTAATTTTTATGGATCAAATCTGTGGCGTTAGTGTATGTGAGATATTATTTAATGCTTTTCAATGGATTATTGAAATATATCAGTAGATTAAATCCTGATAATCTCACTGTTTCAAACAGTGAAATTATCATTTTGATAATTTCACTGCTACGGAACTACTTTTCCCCCTTCAATGAACCCCATATACATGTACAAAAGTACAACTTGAGTTGTCTCCCTTCTATTTACTCTCTTTATTTACAAATAACAAATTACATGTACATGTACTTCCTCTTTATTCATTTACTTCCTGTCGTCTGCAAAAATGGAAGAACTTGCAAATTTGGATGCTTCTGCCCTGGATGATATTTTTAATAACTTCTATGATAAAGAAGAGTATGGAGATTTTCAGGTTGCAAACAGAAATTTTAGGGAAATTGATCCTGATGACTTCCTGTTAGAAAATGAAAATAAAAATACAAAAAGAAAAACAGAAAGTGACATGAAATTGTTTATGTCATTTTTGATGGCAAAAAATGAAGCCAGGTTGCCAGAGTACCAGACCTGGGGGTGATTACATTGATCAGTAATTGATTGAATTACAATTACTTTCAGATTTTATTGTAATTGATTACAATTGATTACTCAGACTTGCCTCTGTAATCAATTAAATTACAATTACTTTAAGAAAGTAATTGATTGATAATTGATTACATTCAATGTATAACTATAGACAAAAGTTTCTTAATGCTATTTAATATATGCATTATATACACAAAGGATTTCCAGCTCATCAACAGTCATCAATTTAACACACTTTTAGTTACTGTCACATCACTTTATCATATTTTAGCATTGCACTTTAGCATCATAAGTTCATGAAACTGTCTGTCAGTCAGACTGCATCTATCAGGACGGAAAATTTACCCGCAACACTAAACAAACGCTCTACTGGGGCCAATGATGCAGGAATGGTCCTCAGTCTTGGTGTAGGTTTCATAATGAACTCTCTGCAACAGAAATTTTGAAAAGTGTCAATTGTACAGTATACTGTATACAGGTGTTAAAACAGGTGTGAAAACAATAAAATTTTATATGGGAATTCAAAGAGACAATAGGCTTTACAAAGAAATTATCAATTTTTTACAACACTTCAATGGTACAACAGTATCCATTATAATATAGACACATTGTCTATCACCTTACAAAATAACTGTTGCATATATATAAAATATAGTAATATGCATCTGACATAAACTGACTATACAAAGTAACGAAGTTATCTACATTGTTTGAAACTTTTTAAAACATGGTTAAACCAAAATATGTGAAACAAAATTTAACATACCTTTATAATGAAATTTGAATGGACTTAGTGTTTCCATTTATCTTCCTAGGGCACAATTTGCACTGTGCTGTCACATTTCCAGATGTCTCTTTAGGAAATTTAAAGACATCATAAATCCAATGACTTGACATTTTGGTTAGAATACCAGCCAAACAATGTCTATCTTTCAGTTAGAATTTGGTGAATGTATGGATTAAAACTTATTTCTTCATTGTGAGTGATGTCTTAAAACATCTCATGTGATATTTTACTACCTTTATGAACAATCATTGTTTATTATGACAATTTCTATTATTTACTTCAAATATGGATATCAATAGAGAACATTCTCTCTATTTAATAAAAATGCTGCTATTGAGTATCAAAATCAATCAATTTACACTCTACAGTTTGTGATTAAAGATCATTATAAAGGAGTATAAGTTAAACTGTAACATGTGAAATAAATCATTTAAATTTCAATAGTTTCAGATTGTAAAATCTGAAAGTAATCAACATCAATCAAATTGTAATCATAATTACAGACTGAATTTAAGCTGTAATTGATTAATTACAATTAATGTAATCAAGTTTGAGCAAGGTAATCAATTACATGATGATTACAGTGTAATCATGTAATCAATTAAAAAATCGATGATTACGATTGATGATTACCCCAGGTCTGCAGAGTACATACCTCCAGATGAACTAAATCATCTTCTCTGTACATGTATTTTGGGCATAACCAAAAAAGATGGTTCCGAATATGAACCGACAACAATCAGAGGATTTATCAGCTCAATTGATCGTCATTTGAAATCAAAATCAAGCCATTTATCCATTTTTAAAGATGTAGAATTCTCTAAAACAAGAGCTGTATTAACAAAAAAACAACAGCAACTCAAGAGTCTAGGATTGGGCAACAAACCAAAAACTGCAGAAGTGTTGGATGATGCGACCCTGGATAAAATGTATGAAAATGGTACACTTGGTGATGGCAATCCAAGAGCGTTAATACATTCCATGTGGCTTATTTGTACAAGTTATTTTGGCATGCGAACAGGCAAAGAATGCCATGACCTCTGCTGGGGAGACGTACAATTATGTATCGACGAGGTGACGGGGCAAGAATTTTTAATGTATGACAAAGAGAGACAAACAAAAACAAGATCAGGTTGTAACCCTCGAGATACAAGGTATAAAACTATAATACAATTTTTCTTCTAAATGATTAAAAAAAATATCATATTTCTTATTCAACATTATTTCTAAAGTATTTTTAACTTTAATTTCAACAAGAAGACAGCAAGGATAGTTGTATCCAAACTGGGACTCGAACCCAGATCTTTTGCCGATGACAAATGTCCTTTCATTGGACCATTCGGATGTACTACCACTGCCTGTTGTTAAAATTTAAAGAAAAAACACTTATTTTACTTCACAATTTTAAGTTTAAAAAACAGTAATCATTTTTATTTATAATAACGAAACAATATGAATGTGTACTTTATATTTATAAATTGACAATTTGCAGAAAATGTACTCAAAGTCTCAATTTGCAGAAATTGTGCTCAATTTGCAGAAATAATACTCTATCTTATGCAGTGTTTTTTTCTTTATATAACTACTACCCTAAAATGGTACCGTTCCCAATAGAAAAAAGACATTATAATTCCCAATTTCCAATGTTTAAATTTCCAAAATGGCTTTTCAAAATTCCCACAAGGCCAAGTAATTTCTCTGAAATCATTTTAATCCAACATATTCATATAAATCACCACTTCATAGTTCTACCTGGACAGTGGAAGCTGTTAGCTATCTTTATTCATGATGATTAATCTCATTTGTAGCTGAAAAATGGATTAAAAAATATTCCCAATAGAAGTCAAAATAACGCATTTTTTCCCAATCAGTCCGGTACCGGCACCATTCTCAAAGTAGAGAAAAAAAACACTGTCATGATACAGTCAAATTTGTTAGCAATGGCCATCCGAGAGAATGTGACCTTTATGCACAAGTAGCCTTTATTCAATCAAATAGAACCTTTGTAGCTCTATATATTGCCTATAATTATGTATTGGTTAGTGACCTTGACTTATAGTATGGCCAGCCGCCTTAATTTGCAGGTCATTACTATCATAGTTTTGACTGTAATACTTATTTTGTAAAATCTAATAAACTAAGACCACAAAATAAAGTATTTTTGCTCATATCTTTTTCAACAATTTTCATACCTTAGAATCTATGTAATTATTTTTTTATGTTTTCAAGATTTATTTATTTAACAAATTTTATGTTAAAGAACTGTAAAACCAAAGGCATTTGGCAATGATGAAGACACACGAAAATGCCCTATTCACCTCTACAAGATGTACCGAGATAAAAGACCAGAGAGCATGTGTTCGGATGAAAGTCCTTTCTTTCTGACACCAGGCGGAGGCACTCAGAAGAGCTGGTATAGAAAAGCTCCAATGGGGATCAACAAACTATATAACATCATGAATGATATGAAATCAGACGCCAACATTACAAATTCAAGAATTACCCCATATAGGTAGAGATTTTTTAATTTAAATTAATTATATAAAAAAAATATCACAAAACAAATATTACATAAATTACATTTCAGTATTGTGGTTGATGATCAACCACAATACTGAAATGTAATTTATGTAATATTTGTTTTTTTTCGGGATGTTACTGTAAAACTGAAATGATTTCATTTCCCAAATTGATACATTAAATTAATAATTACCATATAAACATAGCTCAGTTGCAGTGAATTTTTAGTGAAATTTTTTGTTTTAAATTTTTAAAATTAAATTTTTCATTCATTATTTTTTGCTATAAATAAAAAGAATGTACTGATTTGTCAATTAAAGGTGAGCCCCAATTTCACAACCACTCTCCAAAGCTGTACTTTAAGTGGAAATTTTTCATTTGAAATTATGTTGTATTTTCATTTGTCATAAATTTAACTAATATAAATAGACGAAATTGTCAATGCTATGTCATGGTTCCAATTTTAATGAAGATGTCACAAAATTGATGCAATGCCAGGGCTCTCCTTTGGTAAAATTTGGGGCCGAATATCGGCCCCATTCCCCCACCCAAAAAGTGCGTTTTTTTCCCCTAAAACCAAAAAAAAATCCCCCTTGAAATTAATATTTAACTGGCATAGAAAACGCCGATTGGCGAATATATATTCCGCAAACGGCAACCAGAAATTAGTATGTATTCCGCGGACGGCAATCGGAAATTAGTATATATAGAGGATATTTGTTTAGTTCAGTGTAAGATCGGAATATATTTCACCGAGTGAGCACCAAAAGGTATATTTCACGAGTGGCGCAACTAAACAAATTTTCTTTTTATTACATGCAAAGAAACGTTTTAAAAAGACAATAAATCTAATAATTAATGAAAAGCGCGCCAAATAATAATGCAACGTGACGTCATTTACGACGTCACGTCATTAAGTTGGTACCCAGTACTGTGCACGCTGCTATTTCACTGAAACAACGTAAGGGGCTTAAATTCAAAACAGTGAAATTATCAAAGTGGTAATTTCACTGTTTAAAACAGTGAAATTACCAGTTTTATATCACTGATATATTTCTATAAACCACCGAAAAGCATGTAATAAATATAAATATGACGTTCTGGACAGTTTGTAGCATTCCAAAATGTCGCATGATTTCAAGTCTTACTGAAAAAAAATTCCCCCTTGAATGAAAAATATTTGAAAATCATGCAAAATCCCCCCCCCCCCCCTGCATGGACCCTGGCCCCAGTCTCAAAATGCTAACGAGAGCCCTGCATGCATGTGTGTAAATGTATGGATTAAACTTATCCTGGATTAAATAATTGTGAAATTGGGGCCCGTTCGTGGAAGTTCTAGTTCAGGGGACCTTGTGAATTACATATAAATCAGGACAATCGTTTTCATTTTTTAGTTAGTCCAACACCCAATATTCAGGTCTAGGAAACCCTTAAATTTACAAATGATTTGTATACCGGTATTTACAAATCATTTGTAAATTGAAAGATTTTTCAATTTACAAATTTAGCATGCAATTTTTCTTAACAAAACCTAAACAGGTAAAGGGCGAAGGGGCTTAACTAGTAGACATCTTGACACACTTTTGCAAAGTTTCAATAAATTTTAATAATTTTGATATAAATTATAGTTTGCTGCTAATCTCGTGTTAAATCTAATAGGGTATGTAAGTCTCGTCATGTGACTTGCGAGATTTCACGATATTTTGCACTTCCGGGTACAAACAAACATCAACAACATTGCTTATCTATATTGGTTAATACTTGTATGCCGATGGGAAAGTAAAACTTACATGGAAAAGCAAATGATATGTGGAAATTGGCAGAGATTTTTGTTTTGTAACGAAATTCAAATGGTTTCATCTTCTGAACAAGTATCAATGAAAGACAACTTCGTATAATCTTCAGGTGGGTGTGTCATTTCAAATTCAGTTTATCCCAATAAATGTTGATTATATTTTCATTTCCATGTAAATCTAATAAATTTGTTTTTTGATACAACATCATTCGCATCTGACACCAGACTGGTGAATTTGATTTTATAATTTTTTTATAGCGCTACCTGATTATCTCTCAGAAGTATATAATGTTTAGAAATTTCGGACAGCGCATATTTCGGATAAACGTTTCAATATGATTATCAGTGTGTTTTAGTTGAATATATTTTCTTCCAACTGAAAATATTATTTATTTATGATTATTATCTTTATAAAGCACAAACAGTCAATCTGTATATAACCAATTTAAATTGTTATAAAATTCAATGAAATATTTTGCTCCTCTATTTAGACTGAGGACAGTGGTGAGATGAAAGACGTGAACTGGTATCCGATGTAAATACACATGCATGCTCTGCTGTAAAATCGTTTTGGTAAGAAATATATACTTAAAGCTACTTAAACTACATTAATGAAAAATAAATATTATTGTATTACATATAATGTTCTCGTTTTTGTAAATAATTACAGTGTAGCTAAATAAAGAAACAGTATGGCATATGTAGTTAATTCATGTTAAATACTGTTTAAAGTATTTTTCTCAAGTGAGTGGGTCATATTTTTTAGTTAAACTAGGACACCAAGAAGTGTTTCTTCCTTTTCAACATTATTTTCTATTCATGACAATATGAAAATGCTTGAAATTTATAGCTGACCAATTATTATTTCTTTCAACTCATGGTAAATTTTCTTTATATACAGGTATGTGATTTCTTGGTTGGATCTTGAGTACAAGTACTTGTCATGGCTCTTGATTTATTTTGGAGTGTTCACCAGCAGATTAGAAGTCAAATAGTGATACCAGGCATAGATGAAAGGAAATGTCCATACACAGTCTTGGAGTACATAGTGGTAGAGACATGGCAGTCCATTACAGATTTTGACTGAATTAAAGCTTCTTAAAGCTCCATGTCTTGTGTAAACTGTCTGACTGAATGTTTGTATTCTAATAAAAACTAAGGTTGAAGACACTTCAAAGATATATGTCAGTGTAAAAATGATAAACAAAATATCTGTCTTTGTTAGAAATAAATAACCTGTCTTGATTAGAAATAATTAACCTGTCATTTGTAACTTTGTATTAACTTAATTATTCAAAGATAATTTATCTTCTGCAAATGGCTGCCCAAAACAGTTTCAACCAGGCATCATGTAGTTTCAAAACAGTTAAGATAAATTTGTTATAAATAGACTTGTAAAGTAACAGGAATGGTAAAAAGATAAATGTTCAGCATTAAAATGTTTCTATCTTGATTGAGTTTCATTTCATATTATCACCATGATCACTGCAATTGTAAAAATAATGTAATCTTTAACCATTATTTAAATATCATAAAAATCATCTCAAAGAAAAACTTGTTTCTGAGGCAAGATGTGTAAAATTCCTTCCAGTTATAGCCTTTCACTGCTCTTAGAAAAGCCATGATTTGCATTGTACATGGCAGGTAGTAATACCAGAGTAAACAATATTAATGCAATTCATCTGTGTTGAGTATTCTGTAGCAAAACACTAGCTTGCTAGCCCTTGTAAGCCCAAGTCTCTCTCTTAATTGGAGAAGACTTGCAATTCTGCATTTCTTGAAGATTTTAGTATCAGAGGGGTAGTTATTACATACCATATACTTCTTTGGGTTTCAAATTACCTGTTTTATAATGTATTGAACCTGTTGACATTTGACCAAAAGTGAATTATCTATACAATACATGAAAAACTTAGGGTTTGCACTTGATACAAAACAATTACATCACTGATACATTAATATACCCATTGGAACTGTTTCAAAATTGTCAATGTTTAAAAAAAAAAAAAAAAAAAAAAAACACCACACAATGCTTTTAACTTCTGTCCATGTACATATGTGTAAATGTAGTCATTGAAGAGCTGTCAAGAATTTTTCATCAATATTATTTAGATATTGTCTGTTTCGATTTAAGGGCAGACAAAATTCAAATGACATGCATAGTATTTAATATAGTCAATGCTTGCATATTCAAGCAATCTAGCCATTGCTGTTAGAGAATTAAAGTACACAGTGACACTTATTTTGCAGATGAACTCTTATGATCAAGCACTACTATAAATACAGTATATGCCAAATAGTAGAAACAAAAACAGTTCATAAGTTTAATAAACTTTTATTTTTACACAATTTATAGTGCACTGCTTAGCATATATATCACACTGATTTTCCAGTGGAAGAAAAACTTCAGGAAAGCACTTGGATTTATTATTAGTTATTTGGACAATGTAACTTTACACTGTGAATGTCTACTGATACAAGAATAAGAATATTTCCTTTTACAAATGTAAAGACTTTGAAAATTAACATGAACAAATTATCATAGAGTTATAAATCATATTCTAATTGAAAAATGTTCAGCTTGATATCAAAGCTTTGAATGCAAATTTGTGAGCTTATCAATGATTACCTCACAATATTAGTAGTAGATGATATATATAATATTTTTGCTAATCTTTACTTCGTAGTCATTTAATGTCCATAATGTCATATGACTATACTGTGATTCCATGAAAAACCTAATTTCTGGTGTGTTATCAGCTTTGGTATAAATAGAGTATCTAGTTTTAATACTTAAAACTGCAATGAAATGTGGACATTTTACTCTGTTTCTATCATTGTGACATTAACATGTTCATAGTGTCAAATACATAAAATCATACTCTTTATACATTAAGATTTTTGTGCTGGATGTCATTCATCTTCTTCAGGAAAGTACATTTGACAACTCTCAGTGGCTTATATTAAACTAATATTTCACTGTAACTGTGTGTTCTCTGATATCATTCTCAAATTAAGGAACTGGAAGATGGTAGTTGCAATAAAGGTCTTCATGGACAAATCCTCCTTCATCTTTTCCCTTTTTACCTGCAGAATGAAAAATCAATAAATATGTTGTTACAAGTGTAAGACACTAGAAATGATAATTTCATTACATTTAATAAGCTGGTCATGATTGACAGAAAAATTTCATATTTGAAGTAAATAAACATTAAAGATAAACAACAACACATAATATATAACAGTCAAAAATATTGATCTTCTTGAATTTGAAACACGACTATTTTTAATGTTTTATTTACTTATCAATTATCATGCAGTGAAATCCAAGTTATTAATATATTTGGATAATTGTTTATCTTTCCAATCTCAACTAAAAATTAATCAATTATTTTACATGTATTTACCTTTGATGTATAGATATTTCAGGATCATAGGCAGTGTAAACAGTTGATTAATGGTCCATATTGAACAACTGTATATTCTATACTTGTCATATACCTCCTTGTCTATACATCTGAAATGGTTTAATCAAATATAATATTTTTAAATCAATCATAATTTGCTAGGTACCATATTAACATGTGTATATAACTGAAAAAGGAACAAGAATAAAATGGAAGGGAAAAAATATCCGAATTACTGTGCAATGTCCGAATTTTGTATAACTTTAATATACACTAGAATTAAAATGTTTCTCCATTGTTTATTTCAACAAGTTAAAATGGTTTGAATTAATTCCTAACATCAGTAGTTTTAAAACAATACTAAAAGCTAAACAACTAGAATTCACTACCTTGACAAAACATCCGAAACAATTGTCACTATCCGAAAATAAACTAGTTTTATTAAACTCTATAAATCCCTCGTTTTCCCGTCAGATAATTGACCTACCTGCATTTTTTGACCCGTGCTATCCATTCCTTCAAATCTGAAGAGGACCGAAACAAATTTAACTTCTATACCCCTCGAGTTCTTCGGGTTACCTATATGCGTAACGGTAAATAAGTCTGCCGATGTACCCGGAAGTGGTAAATCGAAAGTGAAAGTAAACGACACTTACGGGCCCTATTCCGCAGTATCATACGTCATTATTTTCGAAAACAAAATTCTGCAATGACACTTACCATGAATGTAAAAGTGCGCTAATTTTAACACCTATCTATTTTCATTCAAATTTCTCTAAAAATCAAGTGCAGCAAAAATTGATAGTAAACAGGTTTTTGATTATAAACTGTATAAATAAAATTTATAATCAATTTAAAGACAAATCATGACTTTTGATCAACATGTAATAAATTTATGTGAAACAAAACAATAAATTTAGTAGAAAGAATCATTTAACAACAAAATAAAATATTATACCTCATTTGCATGTATACGCCCTTCTATATTGAATATGACGTCATCCAGGCTATATAAGAATTATGGACCGGCCCCGGTCTCTATGCGGTTTATGGACCGGATGACGTCATATTAAATTTAGAAGGGCGTATGCAAATGAGGTATAATATTATTTTATATGTACCACGGAAATACACACATTATACTTTGATTTTTTTTAAAAGCGTAGTCAACATTTTTAAGCGAAACCTTCTGTAACAGTGCAAGCTTGTAAATTAAGGGGTTTCCTAGAGCTAGACATGATATTTATATTGAAAAAGTAAAAAAAAAAAAAAAACAGTTAAAAAATATATACAAGCTCATAAGGGTTCACTAAACTAGAACTTATTCATGCGACCATGTAGTATGTTATGTTAGTTTTCAAAGTGTGTTTTTCTAAATTTGTTTTGTTAAATTACAGTTCAAGGAAGAGACTGATACAAAAACTCCAAGACGAGGGAGTTCCAGCAAATCAAATAGTACAGATAGGCACAAGAATATCAACCCAATCAACAACTACAGCAAAATTAACAATGATCAATCAAAGAACATTTCTGACATTTTATCAAATAAAATCAGTAACACTCACTCAGATCTCCAAGTTCGAAGTTCAACTCCAAAGTCTGCATGAATCCGGGTCAGCTCGGCCCTAAAACATACTCGGCCCCCGAGTCAGCTCGGCCCTATTCCAACTCGGCACGGGTCAACTCGGCCCACTTTTAAAAATGGGTAAAGGCACGGATTTATATTACAGGGATCGGACACTCCCAGTTAACCCTATATAAATGCTTAAATATCTTGTCGTGCACCCGATAAAGGTACATCGATCGATAATTTACCGGCGCGAAGCGTAAATGCTAGGGCCGGGAATTATATTCGAATATTCGAATATTCGAAACACTACCGAATATTCGAACATTGAAAAAAAAAAAAACCTTCTGTAACAGTGCAAGCTTGTAAATTAAGGGGTTTCCTAGAGCTAGACATGATATTTATATTGAAAAAGTAAAAAAAAAAAAAAAAACAGTTAAAAAATATATACAAGCTCATAAGGGTTCACTAAACTAGAACTTATTCATGCGACCATGTAGTATGTTATGTTAGTTTTCAAAGTGTGTTTTTCTAAATTTGTTTTGTTAAATTACAGTTCAAGGAAGAGACTGATACAAAAACTCCAAGACGAGGGAGTTCCAGCAAATCAAATAGTACAGATAGGCACAAGAATATCAACCAATCAACAACTACAGCAAAATTAACAATGATCAATCAAAGAACATTTCTGACATTTTATCAAATAAAATCAGTAAACACTCACTCAGATCTCCAAGTTCGAAGTTCAAACTCCAAAGTCTGCATGAATCCGGGTCAGCTCGGCCCTAAAACATACTCGGCCCCCGAGTCAGCTCGGCCCTATTCCAACTCGGCACGGGTCAACTCGGCCCACTTTTAAAAATGGGTAAAGGCACGGATTTATATTACAGGGATCGGACACTCCCAGTTAACCCTATATAAATGCTTAAATATCTTGTCGTGCACCCGATAAAGGTACATCGATCGATAATTTACCGGCGCGAAGCGTAAATGCTAGGGCCGGGAATTATATTCGAATATTCGAATATTCGAAACACTACCGAATATTCGAACATTGAAAAACGAATACGAATATTCGAAAAATATAATTTGATATTACTTTCAAATTCAATTAATATCGTAAATAAAACCTTTGACCTGTATTTGACCAGGTGTTCACACGTTTGTATGACACGTGTCAACGATTATCGCCAATTAACTGTGAAAACTGTGGGGTCTATTTGATCAAAAGGGCTCCGTTTCACACTTTGCAATTTACCTGTTTAACAGTTTAGATTTTTTCCCGATTTTAATTATCTTATTTATTGTTTTCTGTGCTATAATCTTTCCTATTAATCAATGTCTTAAATTTTGTGGAGAAGAATAAATAGGCACGCATTAATCGGCGGTTATGAAAGCATGGGAAGTGTCTATATTCCGTCAGAATATATTTATTCCGTAGATATTACACTCCGTGTGATATTTACTGCGTTATAGCTATATTTATTTTAAGAATATTTTAAATCTTATCTAAAATTATAAATTAATATAAAAAAATAATACAAGTTAAGTTTCAATATAATTATTTGTTATTGGGGCTAAGAGGTTACGATGATTCATGTTACTGTCAATCATCACGCGAGTTACCTCCCGTTAATAAGACAAATAGGATTAACTGAACAAAAGGCAATCAAATTATGAATTTATTTCAAATTGTAAACGTATATGTCGAATAACAATATATAATTTTTTTTTAAAAAGCTGACGTAGTAATAAAGGTATTTTTAATCGTCGATTATTAAAAGCATATTAAAGTAGTATAGTATTCGACGCAATCAATTTCGGATACGTATACGTCAAAGAGAAATATTGGAACAAATGTTGTAAAAACGAATATTCGAATATATTCGAATATGGAAAACGAATATTCGAACATCAAATTCCTTATTCGTTCCCAGCCCTAGTAAATGCCCGTTCGCAACGGATACCTACTTTACAAAATACCATATAGCTTTTTCATTTATTATCCGATTTTGGAAATTTAAAGTTTATTTTGACGAAAAATACTTGGTTAATTCAAATATCTAATTTATTTTTTAAAGGTACAGTTAATCTGTCCGCAACGACGGTTAAAAAATTAACTTGACGAAATCCGCGGTAAATTTACATTTTTTTATATAAAAAGCAGGTATTTGAAATTTATTATTACGGTACCATAATACTTTCAGTTTCAAAACAAAAAAGAAGCCGATGTAAGTTATTCACAGATGATCAAAAGATGCAATATTTAAGATTTGTTGGGTTATGTAGTCAAATTTATTAACGCACAATTGTTTTACGGGTAGGCCTAATGTATTGCGGCCTTTACACATGAAGAAAATTTATTCATTTTTTAGTACAAAATATTGCCCGAGATTGTCAATATTGCCAATATTCATAGAATATTTAATTTCATTCATCATTTATATCATTATTATTTTTTGTAAATCTGTTTTCAAATGTCGGTGCAGTGAAGTAGACAATCATCGTAACAGTAAAGTTCTCTCGTGTGGCTGTCTCGATTCCGGCCTTTTTAATGTCACTCGTATATTTTAATCCGTATATTTTAATTATTCTTTTTATTTGAATGCCTGTAGAAAGATATTTATTATACTTTTTAATGTAACGCTAGAAAAAACAATAAAAAATCTTTACAGTTTGAGTCAGTATTTTGCGAAATAAAAGTAACTGTTGATTATTTTTTACACATCGCTTAAATTTCTTTCAAGTTTAATTACTTTTGAAGAGGGGTAAGTGATAATTAAAAAACTTATTTCCAAACTTTCATTACCAGGTTACATGTGATAATTGCAACACTCAATCTTCAAAAACAAATATAATTTGAATGTATATTTTGTATATGCGCGGTCTTTAACTACAGTTCATGGCATATGTGGTAAGAAAATGATTCTGAAGAGGATATATAAATACAATGTAAATCTATTTTCTTTATTAACATTTATAAATGAAATTGAAAATATACAACTAAATTTGTATAGTCCTTTCTCTGAAAAATGATGAAAATAAACATGTGATAAATAAATCATTTGACGTGAATTGTTTAGGATATCTATGAAAAAATTATGTTTCAAAATAAAAAAAAATTATTATAAAACAGCTGTTTCTTCCTTGCCAATCTAATGAATTCATCTATATAGGAATGCTTGTCTAGAATGATCTGAAAATATATTTAATACACTTAATAGTAGAATATTTACTATATTTATACTAATATACAGGTAATCAAATAAAAAATGTACAAATCATTTGGAAATAATTCACAGAAATAAAGACACATTTCAAACATGAATTTCTTTAAAAGTTTTTTAGCAATCAAGAAACGTTTTTTTGCAATGCCATCATTAAACCATGTAAAAAATAATTATCTTATTCTGAATCGCGGTAATAATTCGTGCTTGAAGTAAAAGGGCGGCGAAGTGTAGAGAGTATGCCTAAACAATAGGCGAATATTTTTTAAATTAGGTACTTTTTAACTAAGCGTTGCAGCGTTCTATCAGCATATTTTCATATAATAATACTTTAGCGACACAAAATAATACTGTATCAATACATTCATATGTGTATAATTTTTCACAAAGCTGCAATAACACCACATACTCCGGTGAAAATCTGTCATATTTCGTACTCCGCACGTTCCGCCATCTCATTCTGTCCACCTTTATCCGATTCCGCGCATGCGCGCGACGGGACTTTAAGCTAAACGAAAGTGTCCGATCCTTGTAATATAAATCCGTGGTAAAGGACATCAACGGACTCCTAGTGTCACGGGCTATTATTATCAATCAATGTGTATGTTTGTTAAAGATACTGATTAATTAGGTGATAATTATGATTGACTCATTCATTCAAATTTGATTAGTGACCACCTGAAATTAATTAGAAGCTTATATGCTGTTAAGTAAACACGTTTTTGTTTCATATTTTTTTGAAAATTACTTTACAAACAAAATGCATCTAAGAAAACAAATTTATATTATATCTATATTCACAGGCACAAGTATCGAACCTGGGAAGAAAAAATATGAAGTTATTTTATCAATCTGTTCATATTTTTTCTTTCCAGGTTCGATAATCGTGCCTGTGTCTATATCAATTTTATCGAATCTGCAAGACAAATAAATTACTTTTCTTTCTAAATATACTTTATTTCCGCAGAGGTACAATGCATAATTATGCCCATTTCTCATTCATTCGTGCCTTCTCATACATTTCGTGCTTACAGAAAATACGCTCGTGCGCATCGCGTGCGTATCCGATTACTATGCAACTGTTTTGACAACTTGCAGGCTAGCACTCATCAACAGAAAATGAGAAAAAAGCAGGTATTAATCCATGAATATATTGCTAAATCGTATCCAAACATTGTTACTTCTGCTATTTAACACAAAAAACACTCACTTTTATTCATAATTTGCAAAAAATCCAACTTTTTCGTAAAATTTTCCTGTTTCATATTTGCCGGCGTCCATTTTTTTAATGTCACGTGACGAAATTTCCTTTGCTCCGTGTTAGATTTATCATTATATACTATTCTTAAAAAGTGACACGACAAAAAATAATGACCAATTAACATTCAATTAACATTTGCAATGTGTTTAATTATATCTTTGTGTTGTGCATCCTTTTGTTCTAGGGAGCAAATTAATTTATATCTACACACACAGAAACAAAATAAGCATATAAATTAAGGCTTCTAGAATCAAAATATTTAGGTCAAATGTTACTATATTGCATAGGTCAGATACTCTATTAGGTTTTCCTGCAGTATAATTATCAGTTTTCAATCAGAAAAAATAACAAAAGAAAATTTCTGTCATATGAATATATATTTTTAGGCAATTGAGAGATCACATGAATCAAATTCATACATAACATTCACCACATATATAAGTCATCTATTTCATATACAAGTGATCAAAGACAAATTCATACAAACATTGTATGAGAACACACTTATATTATGCATTTAAAACATTTATAACTCACATCATAACTTGTTTGAATGTCTATTTGTGAGCATAATGATTACTACAAGAGTAATATTTACCATAAAGCAATATCTAAATTTTAATAAAATACATATATTAACCAATATAATATATAATATAATATTAACCATCAACATATTAATTGGGAGGGAAGGGTGGGAAAATTTTTTAATTATCAAAACATGTGATCTCTAAGTCGACGAAATACAGAATGACAAAAAGGCCCAGGAAACAAATGGTCAAAAATATTTACCGCCAAAAACAGAAGCGACCAATAAAAAGATGTTTATTGCTGACGTAAATCTACCGCCAAAAACAGAAGCGACCAATAAAAAGATGTTTATTGCTGACGTAAACCATAAACAAAAATCGACTAATGAAAAAACACTGAAAAGGTCAACTTCATTCAATCTTATAATTAAGTTATTTTTAAAACAAAATAATCCAAATTATCAGTTTTCAATCAGAAAAAATAACAAAAGAAAATTTCTGTCATATGAATATATATTTTTAGGCAATTGAGAGATCACATGAATCAAATTCATACATAACATTCACCACATATATAAGTCATCTATTTCATATACAAGTGATCAAAGACAAATTCATACAAACATTGTATGAGAACACACTTATATTATGCATTTAAAACATTTATAACTCACATCATAACTTGTTTGAATGTCTATTTGTGAGCATAATGATTACTACAAGAGTAATATTTACCATAAAGCCAAACCCACGGCCAAAATAACAAACAAGTAAGCAAGAGCATATAAATACACTTAACAAACTATGAACAAAACCTACTAAGAGGCTTTCTTATTACCTCCTTAGTAGTATAACCTTCAAGACTAGCCATCGCCAGCTTGCAAGATAGTCTTTCCTGAGAAACAGTGTATCTCGGGCAAAGACAAAGAACATAATTTAATAGTAAAGAAATTCAAATCATTATAAGATTCAATGCACCAACTGAATCAGAAACAAATTAACAAATCATCAATACAAATGAGCAGTATTAAATAACCCACTAAGAGACTTACATATTATCTCCTTAGCAGTAATAACCTTCAATGCCGGCCAATGCCGAATTGTAAGATCAAGCCTTTCATGAGAAACAATGTATCTCAAACAAAAGCATAAAGTCAGCATATTTCTAATACTACCCATTTGAACATTTATCTTAAAGATTATTTATAATAATGCTCTTTATAATCTTTTATCCCAATTCATGTATCATCCAACACTTATTATTTCAAGTGCGCAATAGTATTTATAAAGAATTCCTTTAAACGTCGGGTCCCTTCAAGATTTAAATGTAACCCCCCATCCTTAATGGCATAATATTCACGACGTGGTAAACCACATTTAAGAAATGGCTTGAAGGTTCTAATAAATGAAACCTTCCTGGAGTTGCATAATAAAACTAACTTATTATTTAAATTTTTAACTCTATCACCAGTGGACTCAAAATCAATTGGTCGAGGAATAATAGCAGATACGATAATACTACCATTAGATTGATGTCGAACGTTAGATATCAAATCATTAAAGGATGAAATTATCTCATCCTCTGAACGGGGACCAGTAACATCATTGGTGCCCACATGTAAAATAATGAATGAAGATCTTAAATCTACCTGACCTTGAGAAATTCTATAGCTTAATCTTGAAATATTAATCCCTGGAAAGGCTGTAATTTTGGTATCCCAAATTCCAGAAACATTTTTCGCTATGGAGTCGGAGACTATTGTACACTTGCGCAGTGGTGGATGATTTACATGTTCTGAAAACATAAAACTTTGTTAAATACAATGCCATACTATACATGTATTTTTAAACATAAAATATATGTGAAATATCTTTAATTATTTTACACTTATCCTCTATAGATAGTGAAATGTAATGTTTGTAAACGTCAGAATGCCAATCTCCAAGAATTTGAATTTCATCAGAACTAACATTATTCTTAAATGCAAGAGTGGCAAAACCACGTCTGAATGAATGTGAAGAGTACAAGGAAGAATCTAAACCAATATCATTCAAAATATTACGTAACTTATTTTGATATAAATAATAAGTTACAGGTTTACCATTAGGTAAAAGAAATAAAGCATCTGACGAAACGCCAGGTACCCCTTTTAACATGTTATCATAAGCTGTAACCGGACATAAATGGGAACCTCTTAATCTCAATAAAGGGGTCTGTAAAAGCCGTTCGCCAAACTGGATAGTTTTTGACCAATTCATAGTAACTAATAAATTACCATGAAAACGAGTAACATCAGATCTAAATAAACACTTATGATTAATTAAATCTTTACTAGTGGTAGGAACCAAATTTGATTTGCGAGCAAGTAAGAAAAAGGCAAATATAAATAGACACCAATAAGTCAAATTCTCAGTGTCTTTGAAGTCTAAAGCCAAAAAAATTTTGTTAAGTATGAAAGGAGTTATAGGTTCAGCTTGTTTGACACAGTGACATTTCAATCTGGAAATGCCACGAAGTGTAAAATTAACCAGAAAAGTGTTCATTTCATTTAAATCAAATCCCAGTAACTGATGAACAGTTCTGATCCCACTTAAATAATTACGAATACTAGATACTGATTTAAAAGAACGACTCAAAAATTGAGAATATAATTGAAGAGTGTTTGTACTCGCCGGTAAATAACAAAATTTGAAATAAATACAAAATAAAATAAATGATTCCCACTGAATTTTTAAATTCTTTCTACTACCTTCAGCATATGCTGAAATATTTGACAGTTTCAACTCAGACTTGAGAGTCTTCAACTGTAGATCTACAAAATAATCAGAAAAGAAAAATTACCAATCATTAATAAAAACAAAATCTTGATCCACCACCTCACAATACTCTAAATAAAATCCAGTTGTTAACTGGAAAAATTCATCTTTAAATTTATCATGCTGTGACCAACGAGACAAACAATCAGAGATTCGATTTTCCGTACTTGACAAATGAACAGCTCTTATCTCACATTGAGATTTAGCTGTTAAAAAACAAATTTCTCTCAAACCATCCTGTAACATTGAACATCTGGCTCGGCCTGAATTCAAGACTAAGCATACAGCCTCATTATCACAATAAACGACTATCCTTTTACCTTTAAATTCTTTTGACCAAAGCCTTAAAGCAAGAATAATGCCGAACAATTCTAACACGGCTATAGAAAATTTTTGATTAGAAATATTTACAGGAAAATCAGAATGAAAATATTTTCCATTGTAAAAACCACCACAGCCTGTTAAACACGCGTCCGTTGAGAAAATAGCATCTGGAATTGACCAATTTTCATATAGCATAATAGAAACTCCATTGTATTCTTGTAAAAACTTATGCCACCAAAGAATGTCTTTTTTAACCTCAGATGTAATAGGAACATAAATATGTGGAAGATAACTATACAAATCTTTAAGCCAGTTAATAAGCCGGCTTATAAAAATCCTGCTTGACCGCACACATGAAGCCACAAAATTTAATTTACCAATAAGTGATTGTATTTCTCTAAGCGTTGCTTCTGTTTTGTATAACCATACCTGAATTAAATTTTTTATTTCTAATAAACGTTCTTTAGTAACCTCCATAGTCATTGAATTTGTATTAAAAAGAACCCCTAAAAAAATCATTATTTCTGAAGGTGGACAAGCTTTATCAACTGACTCAATAAAACCACAATGCCTCAAGACTTGACCTAAACAATTATATGCAAAAGGCGCATTTTGCTCTACAGTTTGGGATACCAGTACAAACTTTGAGAGACAGAGTTAAAGGTTACATTGACCCTGTTCATTTTAAGAAAACAAAGGAAACTTGTTTTAGAGATGATGAGGAACTGACCCTTGTTGAACATGTTGAGACCATGGCTGAGCTTGGGTATGGATATAGTAATACTCAGCTACAGCATGCTGCTGGTGAATTAGCATTTGACCTGGGGAAAAAGAGTACCAATAAACCACTTAGTAACAATTGGCTATATGGCTTTCTTAAAAGATGGCGTAACAGATTAAGTACATTGAAACCATCAAAACTTGACAGCAACCGTGCAAGGTCCACCACACCCGAATGTGTTAAGAAGTATTATTGAAAACCTTGCTGCTATTTTTAATAAATATAACCTACACACAAAGCCACAAAACATTTATAACATTGATGAGACTGGGTTACAACCAGACCATAGACAACCTAATGTAATTGCTCCTACAAATAGTAAACCACAAGCTATAACTTCTCCAAGGTCTACAACTACTACATTGATTGGCTGTGCAAATGCAGCTGGTAATTCTCTGCCACCATATTTTGTATTTAAAGGAAAAAGATATAACCCTGACTTGATGAAAGGAGCTACAGTAGGCACAGGTTACTCAATGTCAGACAGTGGATGGTCAAATGCTGTCATCTTCAGAACATATCTTGAAGACCATTTCCTTCCACATGTGAGAGGTCAATTAAGTGTTGATAACCCTGTACTAGTTCTGTATGATGGTCATGCCTCTCACATTAATGAACCACTGGTCAAATGGGCAAGAGAACAGAACATCATACTTTTTGTTCTCCCTGCACACACATCACATATACTGCAGCCCCTAGATGTTGGCATGTTTGGCCCACTAAAATCATTTTATTACACAGAATGTGCAATCTATATGAATAAACACATGGGTAAAACTATCACTCGATATGAAATCTGCCAGCTGGCTTGTAAGGCTTACTTGAAATCCATGACTCCAATCAATATATTGTCAGGTTTCAAGAAAACTGGAATATTTCCACTTTCTCCAGAAGAAGTACCTATGCAAAAGTTGCTTCCGTGTGAAAGTTTTAGAGAAAATAAGCCACTGCAAAAAGCAAAAGCACTGAAAGAAGGAAAACATGCTGTAGAGGAATTTTTCAAACAAAAGTATGAAAACCAAACAAATAATGATGAAAAAAATGAAAAATGTGAATGCATGAAAAAGGCTATAAAAACAAAACCTAAACTAAAGCAGGAGGGCAAGCAATAACAGAAGATGAATATTATAAAGAATTGGTTGAATATGAAAAAACAAAAACTACTAACACTAAAGAAGCAACAACATCAAAACAAAGCAAACAAAATAAATCCAATGATAAGTCCAATTATATGGACATTTCAATAACAATGCACAACCCAGTCCCTTCAACTAGTGGTGTCCGAAACACAAATCATTCTCTGAGGCAGGTCCTTTCAGAAGATTCTGAAATTGAATCTGATGTAAACGACGAAGAATTATGTTGTGTTTGTAAAAAGATCTCACCACCAAAGCTAAAAGATTTGCCATTTCTTAAAATAGTTAACTGGGCTCAATGTGATAAATGTGATCACTGGGTGCACCTTGCACTGTGTACAAATGTCCATGTAGTGAGGAGACACAGTACATTCCTGTGTCCACATTGTGAAGCATAGAAAGTCCATAGATAATGAAATAAACTGTTTATGTTCCTTGTTAAAGTTAACATTTTATTAACATAGTTTTTCTTACCTTGTTAAATGAAATTTGAAAACATTTTGATTGATAGTTTACTTACCTTGTTAGAAGAAATCAGAAAACAACATTAAAAATGTTCATAAACACTAGTATGGATATGATTTTTAAAAGGCTGTTGTTCTATAGCAAGACACACCACTGACACAAGTTTTATGAATATATGCCAGTAAATGGACACTTTTTTAATTGAACTTAGTATACTGACCTTGGGGTTAAATAATACACCGTAACACGGAGGACCAATCAAAAAGCACGAAATGTATGAGAAAGCGTTTGATAGATTCAGATGGTCAAGGTCGTCATAAAAAGGTAAGATACTAAAAATAGATAATTGTTTTTCATGTTTATTGAATTAAAATAGCAAAAATGAGAGTTGAGTTTACATGATTGACCAAAAATTACTTTCATGTAATAAACATTTACTGCGCATGCGCTGATTTACCGCTTAAGAGGCACGAATGTATGAGAAAAGGGCATATATAATAATAATAAGATATTTCTTATTATTCATTTACCTTTACAACATGCAAAGTAAAGTAAATACGTTATAGGCCTATATATTTTTGTAAAGTGGGCCGAGTTGACCCGTGCCGAGTTGACCCGTGCCGAGTTGGTATAGGGCCGAGTTGACTCTTTTCCGTGGGCCTGTCTAAAACGCGGACGCCTTAAGCGGACAATATAAACATATAGGGAAAACGCTGACAATATAGACAAAGAGGAAAAAAGCGGACGATATAGATATATAGTGTAGACTAATTGGTGATGATTTTGGGCATTGATGAAGTTTAGTAAAATGACGTGTAATTGGATTTATACTTTAATATATAAAAAAATATAATAAATTAGCAAATTGGGAGAAATATTAAAGTAATTTATGATTGAATGTCAATAAATTTTATTTTATAATTATATGACACATTTTCGGAATTTCTTAATATTGAAAACTAATATATGAAACAAATGGATCAAATGAATGTCCTTAGAATTACAATGAAGGTACTAAATTGGCAACAGCTGATATGTAATTAAGGATATGTATTTTATTTTGGCATTTTTTGTATGCCTTTATGTGCAGTAAATATTATGAATTAAAGAAAGTTAATTGATATAAATTAATTATATACATTGTAGAAGCCAGATGTTTTTTTATTCATAACAGTTTTCTATTCTCCCGTTCTATACATTTATTTCGTCAGCGTTTTCTTTCTATATCTATATCGTCCGCTTTTTCACTATATGTCTATATTGTCCGCATTTTCTGTAGCCACTTTATTAATTGTACAAGGGTGAGATGTATGATTAATTGAAATATACAAGTGTCGGTGCGTGATTAAGTCAAATACACAGGTGACACGTGGATACTTTAATTAGTTGATTGGTATTTATATCAGAAAGTTTCTTTTATTAACTTAATGGATAAAATATAAATAAAACATAAAAATATTATGAATTAAAGAAAGTTAATTGATATAAATTAATCATATACATTGTAGAAGCCAGATGTTTTTTTTATTCATAACAGTTTTCTATTCTCCCGTTCTATACATTTATTTCGTCAGCGTTTTCCTTCTATATCTATATCGTCCGCTTTTTCACTATATGTCTATATTGTCCGCATTTTCTGTAGCCACTTTATTAATTGTACAAGGGTGAGATGTATGATTAATTGAAATATACAAGTGTCAGTGCGTGATTAAGTCAAATACACAGGTGACACGTGGATACTTTAATTAGTTGATTGGTATTTATATCAGAAAGTTTCTTTTATTAACTTAATGGATAAAATATAAATAAAACATAAAAATATTATGAATTAAAGAAAGTTAATTGATATAAATTAATCATATACATTGTAGAAGCCAGATGTTTTTTTTTATTCATAACAGTTTTCTATTCTCCCGTTCTATACATTTATTTCGTCAGCGTTTTCCTTCTATATCTATATCGTCCGCTTTTTCACTATATGTCTATATTGTCCGCATTTTCTGTAGCCACTTTATTAATTGTTAAAGGGTGAGATGTATGATTAATTGAAATATACAAGTGTCGGTGCGTGATTAAGTCAAATACACAGGTGACACGTGGATACTTTAATTAGTTGATTGGTATTTATATCAGAATGTTTCTTTTATTAACTTAATGGATAAAATATAAATAAAACATAAAAATATTATGAATTAAAGAAAGTTAATTGATATAAATTAATTATATACATTGTAGAAGCCAGATGTTTTTTTTATTCATAACAGTTTTCTATTCTCCCGTTCTATACATTTATTTCGTCAGCGTTTTCCTTCTATATCTATATCGTCCGCTTTTTCACTATATGTCTATATTGTCCGCATTTTCTGTAGCCACTTTATTAACTGTACAAGGGTGAGATGTATGATTAATTGAAATATACAAGTGTCGGTGCGTGATTAAGTCAAATACACAGGTGACACGTGGATACTTTAATTAGTTGATTGGTATTTATATCAGAATGTTTCTTTTATTAACTTAATGGATAAAATATAAATAAAACATAAAAATATTATGAATTAAAGAAAGTTAATTGATATAAATTAATTATATACATTGTAGAAGCCAGATGTTTTTTTTATTCATAACAGTTTTCTATTCTCCCGTTCTATACATTTATTTCGTCAGCGTTTTCCTTCTATATCTATATCGTCCGCTTTTTCACTATATGTCTATATTGTCCGCATTTTCTGTAGCCACTTTATTAACTGTACAAGGGTGAGATGTATGATTAATTGAAATATACAAGTGTCGGTGCGTGATTAAGTCAAATACACAGGTGACACGTGGATACTTTAATTAGTTGATTGGTATTTATATCAGAAAGTTTCGTTTATTAACTTAATGGATAAAATATAAATAAAACATAAAAATATTATGAATTAAAGAAAGTTAATTGATATAAATTAATCATATACATTGTAGAAGCCAGATATTTTTTTATTAATAACAGTTTTCTATTCTCCCGTTCTATACATTTATTTCGTCAGCGTTTTCCCTCTATATCTATATCGTCCGCTTTTTCACTATATGTCTATATTGTCCGCATTTTCTGTAGCCACTTTATTAATTGTACAATGGTGAGATGTATGATTAATTGAAATATACAAGTGTCGGTGCGTGATTAAGTCAAATACTTTAATTAGTTGATTGGTATTTATATCAGAAAGTTTCTTTTATTAACTTAATGGATAAAATATAAATAAAACATAAAAATATTATGAATTAAAGAAAGTTAATTGATATAAATTAATTATATACATTGTAGAAGCCAGATGTTTTTTTTATTCATAACAGTTTTCTATTCTCCCGTTCTATACATTTATTTCGTCAGCGTTTTCCTTCTATATTTTTATCGTCCGCTTTTTCACTATATGTCTATATTGTCCGCATTTTCTGTAGCCACTTTATTAATTGTACAAGGGTGAGATGTATGATTAATTGAAATATACAAGTGTCGGTGCGTGATTAAGTCAAATACTTTAATTAGTTGATTGGTATTTATATCAGAATGTTTCTTTTATTAACTTAATGGATACAAGTGACACGTGGACACTTTATTTAAATAAAAAAAATGGAATCAGTATATACATAAATATATAATTTATACATTTCTTACTGTTTTATTGTCTGGTAGAACATAACATGATTGTTCATATATTGTTCAGGTTGATAAAGATTACAAAGGGGGATATCATTGATATGAACTTACCGAAAAATATGGAGCAACTTCAAAAATGTCCTCTTCGAAACAAAACTGGCGTGTTTTATATCCAGGATAGGAAAACACACTGTACGAATGTTGACACAAATAATCACTCATATATTTTACTTGACTGTGTCCTACAACGAATGCCATTTTAACAATGCCTTAGTGAAAACACTTTATACAATATTTTACACAATTACACTTTAAAAGTTAAAGAACACAATAATTTAATAATCCAATTCAAATTAACACTTTGTAAGCAATGGAATGAATTCAAAGCATGTAACTTTTTTTTTTTGGAAATGAGGGATGTGCACAAAAATTGACTGTATATATACCTTACCATTAACAGTTTTACCATTAAATAAGTTGCAATTGCAAAGTTGTGAAAAAAAAATACAAAAGATCAAAAACATAACGACTGAAATTAATTTCATGATTGGTCCCAATGTTGTTTTTTTTCTATATTGTTCTTTGAAATTTATGTCTTAATTGCTCAATATCTAAAGAGCCGACAATTTTAATAATGTGACAAAGTCATTCACACTTAATGCTTTAAGTTAATTTGCAACACGTGTATTTTCACCGGTAAACGATAATTTTCAAAAAAATTACTCATTCGCCCACTATTTCATAATTATATATGTACACAAAAGAAGATTC